ACCCTTCCTCCGTCCCCTTCTCTTCTCTTTCCACAGGGAGCCACCGTCCTGAGCTTGGTGGGCCTCCTTTCCAGACAGGTTTTCCCATCGCACTAGTATGTGAGTGCCCTGAGTAACCCAGGGTCTCGTCTGGGGCCCTCCCAGCCTTACATCGATGGCATCGTGCTGTCCGGTCCAGGCTGTGCTTGCCCCCCCCCGCCCCCCCCTGCCAAGTTTTAGCTCCGCCCTGTTGATCTGGCTAGCTCTTGCTCGTTTATTTTACCTGTTTTATAGTGTAGCATTTCTTTTTTTTCTCCCCCCACAGTTTATCTATTCAGTGACTCTTCTTTTCTCCTTTGCTTGATCCATTTACACCATTTGTCCCTGCTAACTATTTTCCGGTTTTTGAAGACATTTTTATTGGGTGCCCACCAGGCACTCTGTTTTGTTCTACCCTGGATAATGGGATGTAAAGGTGACAGGGACATGTTCTCTGGTCTTCATGGGGCTCATCGTCAGGCAGATCTAGACGGGGGTCCTCTTAAACGTTCCCCCTGGCTGCTAACAGTGACGCTTTATTCACAGGGGTGCCAGCATCCATCTGGGGCTCACACCTGTTCTAAGCCCTGTTTATGTGTTGGACCATTTTGTCCCCAGAACTGCCTTTTGAGTTAGGTTCTGTTATTTTACAGATGAGAAAAACAATCCTGGTCCAAAGCGGGGGATGAGGAACAGAATTTCAGATTCTCACGGAGCCTTGGAGGCTGGATGAACCCCTGAAGCTATTACGCTGAGATAATCTTTAAACCTTAAACCCAAAATATCCCCTGAGGTCTTCTTAAAACCAAACAGTAGTTTAGCTTAATTAGTAAAGAATGTCGGCATTCAGCATTGTGCTCTTAAAAACCAAAAAAAAAAAAAAACAAAAAACCCAGCTGTTACAGTCGAGTGGATTCCGACTCGTTGCTGTCTTAAAGAGCTGTGTATCTGGGATCACACTGACCATAGCAACCTGAAAGTTTAGACAGGAAGCTTAGGCGGCAGTGAGTTCATGTTAATGGGGGAGGAATAATTGGGAAAAGGAAGGTGAGAATGGTTGCACAACTCGAAGAATGTAATCCGTGTCACTGAATTGCATGTGTAGTAATTGTTGGTGTATGCCCTGCTGTGTATATTCGCAACAACAACAACAACGAATCAAAAAAGAAGGTAAATAAAGATGAGGAAAGTGAAGCTCGCAGAGGCTAAGTCACTTGCTCAAGGTGACTCAGCTAGTAAGTGGCAGGACCCAGATGGGGCACAGCGTGAGACTCCACGGCCGGGGCTCATGACAGCGCGGGGTGCCCTCTTCTGCCTCTCCCCTGACTTCCTGCCTGCGGTTCTACAGTCTCCGCCTCTAGCCCCATAGTTTCTCTCTCATTCTAGACTCTGAGCCCCTGACGGTCGGAACCGGGGCTTACTTACCTCCATGACCTGGTGCCCCCTGGGGCCTGGCACCTGGTAGATGCCTGCCCTCAAGGGGTGGTGTGCTTCAGGGTGTCGTCCTTGGTCCCCAGATGGTCTCACTTGCTCCCGTGGCCCCAGGAGAATGTGTCGGCAAGTGGCCACCAGACCACCCTCTTTCCCAGCCTCTGGAGAGTTGGAATCACTGAGCCTGTTTCACAGCCCACAGGCTCAGAAGTCTTCACCCTCCTCGTCTGGCTTCTTCCTTCTTCTCTATGTCGGTGGTTGGGGATCTGAGGCAGGGACACTGGCATCCTTGATTTTCTGTCCTAGCCCCCAGCACCAGGCCTGGGTCACAGTCCGCAGCTTCTCCATTCAGGAGCCCCTCTCCTGCTGTCCTGGCTTTCGGGACCACTTCTTTGTTTCTAAACTGCCACCCTCACTGACACTCCTCTGCTTTAAACCCACGGTGGTGTCCCATTTCACCTGGAATAGTCACTGGAGTTCTTAGTGGACACTGAAAACCTTATCTGGCCTCAGCTGTCCCCTCAGCC